TGTTGGAAGGCATAAAAAGATTCATCATTAGGAGCTCAAATACACATTATTTATCTATTTATTTAATGTTACACAATACTGTACTTTAAAAATTGTGGTATATGGAAGGTTGAGGGAGAGAAAAGCTACATTATTCAAATGCAAAGCAAAGGATAACCTCATGATTTGTTAAGTAGATCAGGAGACACTGAAAGAAAAACCTGATCAAGATATGAGTTTCAGACCCAGGTATTCACAATAGATGTAGCAGGCATGTTGGGATTTTTGGAATTATACAATTTTTTATAGAATAAATTGTTACCACTTTCTTTACATGAAATCTATGAGATTTTATAAATACTCATGACAGATAAAGATAATTATATAAAGGAAGAGGAAAATTTTTGGTAGGTCAATGATATCATAAAATTCTTTAATGGAGTTCTCATTAGTCTTATTATTTACTTATATTTACTAAATAATAAACTTATATATTTGCATTACTATGTAATACTTAATTATATACTTAATTGAAATGAAACAATATCTTTCAAATATATATTTATTATCATAAAATGCTGAAATCAGGCTTTATAATTATAATATAATAATTTATCCTAAAAAAAGCTAGTTTATAGCTAGTTTGGTGCAACTGGTGCCCAGCACCAGGAACTCCAAAGCCAAGGGTTCAAGGGGTAATGTTAAAAAAGGGCCTCATTTTAGCTCTCTGATCTACGGCTCCTGAAATGTGGTTAGACCTCTGTCTATTAAGAAAAAATTCTCCTGCACTTGTAAAAATCCAATGCAAAAATAAGAAGAAAGTTAATACAGAACCAGCATATCAATTAAAACCTGAATAAATGCCCCCTCTCATTTCAATGTTCTCTCATGTTTAGCCAAAAAAATAACCTGCAAAATAACCTCTTCAGTTCTCTGTTTCAGTTCCAATCCTTAAATTGCCAGAACTATTTATATAATTGAATTTACATGAATTTACATTAACAAATTTCCTTTTGTGATATTTACAATATATTTTAATTTAAACATCCCTTGACTTTGTAAATGGTAGTTCTAAGTTATTATAACATGGTACTATTTTTCAAAGATTCACACTTCATGCACAAGATATCATACACAATTCACAGATTTAATTCTCTTGATATTTTTTCCAGTTATCATCGAATAGACATAAATTTCCTATAGCATTTTCTTTCATGTTTAAAATTGTTAATATTCATTTCACTTTTTGACAGGTTTGAAGGAATATATTACAAATATGAAGTCTTTACTAATAGCATTTAAATTATTTAATTTTTAATATACCTTTTCCTGTATATGTGTGATAAATGATTAAGTAATCTCAGGCATGGATCCATGGGGAGGGAAATGAGGGAAATTTCTCC